GATAGACACATATTCATTTTCATATTCTTTTCCACAAGCTACTACAAGATATTGACTATATTTCCCTGTTATACAGTATAGATTTGTTTATCTATTTTATATATACCTGTCAGTACCTGTAAATCTCAAACTCCCAGTTTATCCCTTCCCACCCCCCTTCCCCCTGGCAACCGCAAGTCTGTGTTCTATGTCTATGAGTCTGTTTCTGTTTTACATGTAAGTTAGTTTGGCTTTTACAGAAATTTCTGAAGGAAAGAAAATTGTATAAACCCAATACCCAACTATGACTATTATGAATAATCCAGTAACTTTTATATGAAATATTTCTGATGTTCATCTTGGCCCCAGTATAGAGCATTGGAAACATGGAGAGAGTAAGCCTGGCTTCCTATCTTAAAAGTTCATTTATACGGTACAGCTGTGTTGGTTCAAATCCCAACTCCACCCCTTTCGGCTGTGTGACTTTAGACAAATAATTCAACCTCGCTGAGTCTTAGTCTCTGTCTATAAAATTAGAACAATAAAATTATTGACCTTGTAGGGTTGTTATGAGAATCAAATGAGTCGGTATGTGAGAAGTACTCAGAACAGTCCCTGGCTGATAGTAAGAGCACAGAAAATGGTGCTTATTACTGCCCTGGGGCCAGTAGTAGCAAACCCTTCACCCCTAATTAGGTCAGGGATTAACCCTGCTTGCTGTCACTGTGAATTTTTTTAGAGTTTCTGCAGATAGAATTTATGTATAGAAAAGACATCTGTCATTATTTTGCTTTTTTGAAATTAATCTTTTGAATTTATTGTTTTAAAATAAATCTTCAATTTATTAAAGTCATACACATTCTAAAATTTAGTTTTTCTTAAGTCTTCAAGTTATCTTTATAAATCTCAATGTTCTATTTCTAAATCTAATAAATTTAAATAACCACTTTCAAAGGGGAACTTTAACATTTGGTCAACTCAAATTCAGCAACCAAACTTCCTTAAACAATCCGTCCTATGCATGACTTAAATTTTTTCTAACATTTTAAACTACAGTATTAAATGTAATATATTTTAATTTCTTCCTTTGCCCAAACTGATCAATAAATCTAACTACTTACACTATTCTACCAGGGCCTAACAAATTCAGTTTAAATATAAAGTATGTCTCCTTTCCTTATAGGCTGTGGTATTTATTGCAATTTATCTAGGCAGTGTGTCTGCACCCTAACAAAGCTGGAAATCATGGGAAGTGAAGGGAAGGCCAGTTCTATTTTGCTAACTAGTGGCTGGCACATGGAGAACTTTGAAGGCCAAAAAGAATTTGCACTGGTAGGGGTCAGAGAGAGTGTTCCAGACTGGGAGAAATAGCAGCAAATGTTACAGACAGTGACGGTGGTATGAAGATTCTGCTCATACTTGCCAGGTCTTGCTCGTGATAATTCTGTATACGTTATATACATTTATACACACATACAAAACGCAGGTACAGTCTGTGTGAAAGCAAGGAGGACCCTGCAGGGCCTTCCTGGGAACAGACCACCCCCCTGCCCCCCACCAAGTTTCCCCTCTCTCTTTTTTGTATAAAAAGAGTTTTCTGAGTTTCAAAGAACACATTTAATCAGAGAAGTGAAAAAAATGTAAAAATAAAGGAAATCAGTCCATCAAGACATAGTGATAATAATAAGTTTAGCCATAAAGCAAAGCCAAGGAAATTAACTCCCTCTTCAAGGGCTGTAGATTATGTCCTGAGCCATATCCCTGAGTTGTTTTACAGACATTAAAACCCCTACCAAGTGGGAGAAGTTTATTTCATGCTAAACACCAGCATGTGGACCCCAGACCAGCTGGAACCAGAGAACTGATAACTGAGATTCCTGAAACATCACCCTGTTATCTCACCATCAACCAATCAGAGAAGTGAGCATGAGAGGCACAAGAAGATGGTCATGTCCCAGGTCTCAGACAAGTCCATGAGACAGGTTGCCAAGTGAGGGTCCTTGGCTTCATGCAGGAAAGACTTCAAGAGCGGGCCATGGTAGAATGAAAGCGAGTTTATTTAGAGAGATACACATTCCATAGACAGAAGTGGTCCGTCTCAGAAAGGAGAGTGGCCCTGAGGTGTGGGGGTGTTTAGTTTTTATGGGCTGGGTAATTTCATAGGCTAACAAGTGGGAGGATTATTTTAACTATTTCGGGGATGCGTCAGGGATTGGACCATTGCCTAATTAGCCTCTTATGGTCATTTATGATCAGCGTTGGAATAGTCCTGGCACCTGTGGGTGTGTCATTTAGCATGCTAATGTATTACAATGAGTGTATAATGAGGCTCAAGGTCTAATGCAAGTCGAATCTTCTGCCACCTTTGGCCTAGTTTGTTCTAACCAGTTTATGCTGTATCTTCAATGGCTATGTCATTCTTTTAAAGACTCTGCCCTGTCCCTTTTCCTCCTGTCTCACTCACACTGTCTTAAAAAACCATCCCCTGAAAGTCATGGGGAATGTGGGTTTTTTGAAGCTGTCTCTTCCTCCTGCTTCACAATAAATGCTGTATTTTCCTTTACAACAACCTGGTGGCAGTAGATTGGCTTTGCTGTGCCTTGGGCGAGCAGACCCAAGTTTGGTTCAGTAGCATGAGTAGCTGAATAACGTTTTTGTTGTTTTTGAGGATTTGGGATCAGAATATATGAAACTGTTATTGGAAAACTGAGTTTACCATTTTTGGTGGGTGTTGAGCCAAAATGAAGGAGAATTAGTAAAATGGCCACATATAGGCTAACAGATTGCTTATTCTTATGCTTGCCCTTAAAACGGTCCACTGACCTGACTGACCACTTGCTACTCACAGCTCCAGGCCCACTGTTAAAATAAAGCTATTAATTCTGCTGTTTCTGCTTTATTCCAGTAATCAAAGGTAATAACCATACTTGGTTTCTGAGTTGTTCTCCAGGGAGGTCATGGAACTGTAACCTTATGAAGTAGGCTAAATACCAAGAAGCACACACCTTGGGTGCTTACAAGATTAAGAGGTTGAAAACGTGACAACCACTAGCCTGTACAGAATTGGTCGCCTGGAGGCATCATAACAACACTCTAAGTCTTATGAATCTGTTGATTGTTCATTGTTTGAGCTGTGGCTGTATCATCACCCTGCCCCATCCTCAAGGTGGGTTCACAGTTTTGAAGGCACTAGCCTGCTGTGGGTCCCCTTTGCCTGGGCAAAGCAATAAAATTGCGTCTTTTCTTCTAAGCTCCAAGACTCTGAGTTACTTGGCTTGTCAGGGACAGGGGCCAATATTTCGGCAACAAAAAGACACAACCAAGCCAAAGATGGGGCAAGGGAAGGATTTGTTACTTGCAGCAAGTAAGCAATGAGCGATCTTTCCCAGTGTCTCCCAGAACAGCAAAATTGGGGAAGTTTTAAATTAAGGGCACATGCATATTCATGAAAGGGTTTGAGCAGAGGAGAATTCAGCAGAGAATTGCCGCAAAGGTCAACAATGTCCAAGTACTGGGTGCTTGAAGTCATAAGGGTCAGAAAGAGGTTTACACCATCATCCTTGGGTTCCACCTGATCTGGTGGTTGAGCACTCCGGGGGATGAGGGGGCGGATTTAAATTCTGCAAAACAGCTGAAGAAAGTGCTTCAGGCTAATTTTACTGTTGAAACAGAATTAGGAGTCTTTACAACTGATTTGTTATCTTTGCTTTATTTCTCTTGCCCGTTAACAGTCTTCTGATCTTTTGTTTCCTTAAGATCATTATTACTGAGACCTGTTCAAGGGCAAGCATTGTGGTCAGGCTTAGATCACAAAATGGCTTAGCCTTAAAGTGACTTCTCTTATGTCAAGTAAGCCATGCTTGGTTCTCTTTCTCTAGGGGCCACTACCCTATCTGCTAACACTGTCTGCTTACAACTGTATTTTATATGTTCAATTAGCTCATAAACAAGACCCTGATGACTGCATCTCTGAAGTCATTTTAATTTTTCATGCCATATTTTTGGATTTTCTTTCTAGTATGCTATTAGTGGACATATAGTCTTTTGCCCCTTTCCCCTCCCATACACTCCATCTCAACTATCTTATCCCACCATCAGACAAAACAATTCACATTCCTTCATTCATTCATCAAATATTTATTAAGCCTACTAGCCTACTATGGACAGGCTAGTATTCTAGACGCCCTTGGGATGCCTCAGGGAACAAAACAAAGAACCCCCCCACCCCGCGCAGGGAATTTACAGTCTAACCAGGGTGACAGACACGAACATAAAAGCAAATTATAATAGTATTTCAAGAGGTGCTAAGTGTTTTGGAAAAAAATAAATTGTAAAGCTGGTAAAGGGAGATGGGGCCAAGCTTTCCCATCTGGAAATTTTATTTTTTTCTCCCATCTGGAGTTTTTAAATGAAGGTGTATAAAATATACAGAATACTTCTATGGGTCTTACTGCTTTTTTGTCTGTCCTCTTGGGGGCAGATGTCTCCTTCCTGCCTGGGAATTTGGCTAGTTACAACAATTATTACTGTTTACATATATGTCTGGCTACCAGGCATCTTTGATGATTAGTCTCCTTAATCTTCATTACACTGGAAAAGGCAAGTATCATCTTTCCCTCTACAAAAGAGGGAATTGAAGTGCACGTCTGGGTGGACATCAAGGTTCTTGAGCACAAAGCCGATTCAGGCTGACTGCTTCTGGTTATCTAAAGGTCAAAACAATTGACAAGCATCCTCTCTAGACTCTTTTAAACAAACGTGGGTGAGGTGTGCGAGCGCTCCCGAGGTCCAGACCGAGTGTGGCTCAGCGGAGAAGGACGTGACCTCAGTTGGGAGAGTACGGCAGGGACCCGAGTCAGCTCCGAGGAGTCGCCGAGCGGGGCCAGGGGGTGGAGCCTGGGCGGAGGGGGGCGGGGCCACCGCCCTCCAGTGTCGAGGCCTCGCGGAGTGGTTTGTCCCACGCTGCGGCCCGTAGAGACTCCGAGTTGCCGCCCCTCCTCCGGGAGTGGTGGAGATTCGATCACGTGACAGGTCAGAGGCCGGAGCTGGGCAGGTTGTGGAAAGCGCAGGGTTTTGACAAAACAAGCGGCGACGGTACCACCGCAGGGTCTATGGCCGAGGCGGTGAGGCCCCAGCGCCGGGCCAAGGCCAAGGCCGGCCGGACCAAAACCAAGGTGAGGACCGGACTCTTCCCGCCCCCTCCCCCGCCCCCAAGCGCCCTGGCAGGTGCGCTCTGTCTCCCTTTTCCCCTTTCGGCCTCTCCAGCCAACTCTGCCCGTCCCCTAAGTCCCTCTCATCCTCTGCCTCCTCATATTTGATTTCCCCACCCATTGATACTAGACCTGTTCCTCTGTTCCTCCTTCACGTCCTGCCAGACTTTGTCAGGACCACCCCCCCCGCCCCGTTTTTTTTTCTTTTTCCTCCTCTGACCTCGCTAGGCTCTTCCTTTTCTCTCCCTTCTTGACTTGGCTTACCTGGGTCTGGATTCCTGCCGTGAAGCAGCTTTTTCTCTTCCCAGCCCCATCTTTGACTCCTTTTTTTCCTTTATACCATGTGCACATTTTCAGCCCCTTTCCCGCGTAAGGAGGGAAGAGAACCTCTCCTCCACGCGGGGAATGTATCTTCGGCAGAGCTTTACAGATGGAGACAGAAAGTAGACTGTCGTGATGTGCCTCCTAAATTAATAAAAATCAAGATAATAGATGCTGCTGCTGTTTATTTCTCATTATCCTGTTTGTTTATGATGGGGCACAAATGACTGAAAATTAAACAGGGCGGGACTCACACAGCCGCGACAGATTTGAATTTTCTGGGCTTCCCGGATTAGTCTTTTGGACTATTGGTGTGGTTTAAAGTTGATTTGTTTTGTTTTTAGGCGCAGTCTGGCTTTTCATTTTGTTCCCATGTGTTTTCTGAAGTGACGTTCAGTTTACAGTGAGCAGATTAAATGCTGCCCCGGATGGCTGGTGTATATAATTTTGGCTTACCTGAAACTGAGTTAATTTTAAGGAAATAATGGGGATGGTACAGGAGATTTCCTTTCCTACATGTGGGTGATGTTCCAGAGCAGGTGTAAGCTAAAAATGATACCCAAATCGGCTTTTCTCATGGGAACAGGATTTTAACAGGAGACTGGTGTTCAAAGTTACCATATTTAATAGGCTGTAAATGACTTACATGGATCCCTTTCATTATGATGCTTTAAACAAAAACTGTAGTGGAGTTGTGTGCATCAGAGTACCCAGGTCTGTGAGGAATTACTCTTTGGGGAGAAAGCCATTTGCTCCCTAATTTCAGAAACATTTTTAAGTGAAATAATGTATGCATTGTGTTGAGCAGGTAAAGAACTACCTGTGTAGAGGAGGAAGTAAAAAGGCACTGGTCAGCCATGTGTAAGGTTGCTGAAAACCTAGAATACAGTAGTGTATAGCATGTGAACATCAATTTATAGAGAGCAGAATCAGAATTCTCAATCTCTAATGTTTTCCAAAGGAATGATGAAACTGAAGCCTAGCAAAGTTAAATGATAAGCCAAAAGTCATGCAGTTAGTGAGAAAACTCAAGTTAAAGCCAAAAATCTTAAATCTCAATCCAGTAGCTTAATTGTTCTATGTGTCTCTATGTATCTATAGATAGAATGTTATAAATACTTCAAAAGGGTTAGTTAAGAGGATGCTCTGTCGACTTACTTTGTTTAGAATAGGGTTTCTACAGTAAAAAAAAGAAAATTAGTCTTTTAAATCCATCACAAAAAACAGTTGCTTATTTTACTGACACATTGTGGGCAACTTTACTACACAAACAAAAATTCGTTTTGTATCTTTTGAAGTTTATAAAGAGGCCTTCATTCCAGAGGTATTTGGTCAAACCAGAAATCTTTGACACATACTTTTTAATTACCCTCCAAATCTAGTCAGTCACTAAGTCTTCCCAATTATATTCTGTAATTGTTCTCTTGATTTTGTCCATTTCTCTCCTTGCTAACTAACTCCACTATCCTCCAAGGAAGATTCCTTGGACTGGCCTCTCCAAATTCATTCTTGCTGTCCAGTCTGTAAACTAAAGCTGGATTGATATTTTATAAGCAAAATCCCCAAATAGTCACTCTCCTTCTTAAAACCTTTCAAAGATTTCCCATTGACCAGAGGCCAGAATCTAGAGTCCTTAGCATAGACTCAGGGACCTAAATGATCTGGCTTCTATCATCCTTCTCAGCCTTAGGTCTACACTACTGTCTCTTGACTCAGCCATGTATGCCCTTTCCTGCTTCAGGGCCTTTGCACATACTACTTCCTCTGCCCTGACTCCTCTTCCTGTCCCTCCTCATCTAGTTAACTACTGTTTATTCATGAGATCTCTGCTTAAACAGTACTTTGCTCATCACCCGTATTACCTGCTACCTCTGCCAGCAGTGTTCTGCACCCCTTTGTGTCACTCATCTCACATATGGTTACTTTGTTGACATCTCTCTTCTCTCTTAGGCCGTGAACTCAATGAGGGAGGGGCCTGTCTTTTTCCCAGAACCCTTCACAGCCCTTGTAGGCATTTGATAATGTTTGTTGAATGAAGGAAAAAATACCAGTACTGAAGAATATTTCCAAGTTTTGTCACTCAGAAGAATTTACTAAATTTCCTCTGAGTAGTATGAGAAAACATATGGAAAAAGTCCATGACACCAGCAAGGCCCTCATACTTGTCAGTCTAGAAAGTTAATTCTTCTTTTAGAGTAAATAGATTTATTTCCTAGTGCTGATTATGATATGGCTGTGATCACGAAGTCCTACATTAATGAAACCTTTACCATTTACCAGAGTATAGTTTGGTAACTATGTACGGAACCATAAAGTAGTTCCAAGGCTCAGTTCAGGAAGTGAGTAGTGTCGTGTGCTGTTGCCTTTAGGCAGGCTTCTGGCCCAGCAGCTGACCTATATTCCTCAACGTTAATCGTCTGGAAGATGACCTCACACTGCTAGTGTGTGGTTATCTGGTGCTTATCACCTGATACCTAAGAGTTAGTCCTAATGAGTTTCCCTTGCCTCAGAGGACCGTGACTTCCTAGATCTTGGTAGATTATGAGTTCAGAACAGTCGGTTTTCAGGTTGGACTTACTCTGCAAGAAGCAGTATATTTAATAATCATGGAAAGTATTTTTATAGTATTTTTATATTAAATTCTGAATGCCAACAGCTGATTAAGAGTAAGAGCATATGGTAATTGCTAAGGATAGAGATGTATCCTAGAAAACTGGTAACAGAAACAGAAAGACCTTTAAATTAAATCCCCATCCCCTCTTACTCCTTGGCCTGGATGATCTCCGCCTCTTAGTCCCTCCCTCCCATGAGTGATTACAGGAGTGAAGTTGGGGGATGCTCTGCATTATTATTTAGCACCTTTCATCCCTCCTAAGATCCATTTATTTGTTAAATAAACACTCACTGGTCACCCACTATGTCCCAGAAACTGTTCTAGGTACGTGGGATGTAAACAGGGGAAAAAAAAAAAAGAACCTGGCCTTAATGGAGTTTGCATTCTAGAGGAAGAAGACAAACAGAAAACCCCATAAAAAATAAAACATATATTAGAAGATGACAAGTTCTATGGAAAAAAGAAAAAGAGGAACAGGGCAAGAAGTTGAGTAGTGGGGAGAGGTTAGGAGGGTTTGCGATTTTAAATAGTTGGTCAGGGTGGTCCTTATTGAAGGTGACATTTAAGTAAAGACATGAAAGGGAGGAGGGAGTTAGCCATGTGGATACTGGGGGGAAAAGTGTTCTAGCGGAGGAAACAGCTGGGGCAGATGCCTTAAGGCAGTGGTATGTCTGTGCTGTCCTGGGAACCTCAAGGAAGTGGTGTGGTTAGGGTGGAGATGATGCAGGAAAAATGAATGTGGGGTGAGAGGAGGGCCCTGGCCCAGGTCTTGGCTAAGTCCCTGGGATGTGCCCTGCCAAGTGTGGGTCCTTGGCTTCGTGCAGGAAAGAATTCGAGAGCGAGCCATGGTTGAGTAAAGATAGATTTATTTAGAGAAATACATACTATGTAGAATGTAAGCTTTTTCAGAAGATGAGAGGCCATGAGGTGTGAGGGTTGAGTGCTCGGGTTAAAGTAAAAGTAGATACACACTCCATAGACGAGTGTGGGCTGTCTCTGAAGACGAGGGAGCGAGAGGCGACGGGGCATGGTATTGCCAGTTTTTATGGGCTCAGTAGCTTCACACGCCAAGTGGGAGGACCATTCTGACTTCCCTGGGGAAGGGGCTGGGATTCCCAGGAATTGGGCCACTGCCTACTCTTTGATCTTTTATGGTCAGCCTCGGCACCTTTGGGAGCATCATTTACTGTGTTAGTATTACAATGAACATATAATGAAGTTCAAGGTCTACTAGGAGTCAAATCTCCTGCCATCTTGAGCCTTAAGGCCTACTGGGAGTTGAATCTTCCACCATTTTTGGTGTTAATTGCTGTGTCATGCCTTGAATGGCTGTGTCCTGTCCGCTTCCCTCCTGTCTCAGAGTGAGTCAGGGGAGAGTAGTTGGGATGAAGTCAGAAAGGCAACCAGGGCCCGGGCCCTTGTAGGCCATTGTAAGGACTTACACTTTGAGTGAAATACTGGAATCATGTCAGGGTTTCCAGCAGAGGAGTGATATGATCTGAGTTACGCTTTAAAGGGTCAGTGTGCTTGCTTTGTTGAGAACAGCATGTAAAGTTAGAAGAGTAAGAGCAGAGAGACCGTCTTGAGACTTGCGGTAATCCAGGCAAGAGGCGATGTTGACTTGGACCAGAGTGGTAAATCCAAAGCAGTGACGAGTGTTTGAAATGTGGGAGTTTCTGAAGGTCTAGCCGAGATTTGTTGGTGGTTGGGATGTGGGATATGAGCAAACAGTCAAGGATGACTCTGAGATGGAGGAGGCAGTGAGTGGAACAGCTTTGGGGGCAGATCAGCAGTTCAGTTTTGGATTTGCTAATTTTGAAATAAATGTCTATTAGACATGCATATGGAGATGTAGGGTAGGGTTGGATATAGCGTTAAGAGAGAGCGCCAGGTTGGAGATAAAAGGTTTGGGGGTCATCAGCGTGGAGTTACTTAAAACCAGCGACTGAATTAGGTCACCTTGGGAGTGAGTGTAGTATCAAGAGGTGACAAGAACAGAACCCAAGGGCGCTCCAGTTTTAAGAGCTTG